AGTCTGCTGAACTGGAACATCGAATGTGCAAAAAATCGCCAGTACCAGCATGATAATGATGATGATAATAATAATAATAATAGTAATGATAGTACTGAAGATATTGATGCAAGTGGTGGGGTTATTGTTGCATTGCCACTAAACGGGCATTCCTCGTATTTTACTCTTCTGACCCAGAGAGCGAGTGAAAAGCACCATCTCTAGCCGTTACATTGTCATGTCGTCTCAGTAAACCCTCGTAAGTCTCAGTTTTCGAGCTCGCTTGCCTCATGCTTCTTCGCATATTTTGTCTTATCATGTATTTATCTGGGATACCGTAACAATATTCGGGCTGCAAATACTTTGTTCATAGCAACAATAATAAAAATCACAGCTGGATGGTGTGCTTGACAAAAAGTGACAGCTTGCTCTGTCTTGTATCTTGCTATTAAATATCTTATTGCTAGAAACCGGCCAGTGGTACAACAGTGTCCAGTAATGACATTGCTCTTGCAAGATGGATTTTAGTTGGGACGTCCTGACAACAACAGGGTGATATTTAGATCTCGGGGGTTGTAACCAAAAAAAGAGGCTGGTGTTATTGCTTGAAAAGGAGCTGAGACACCGCTTGGAGATAAGAATTGAAAGCAGGGGCGAGCCTGTGAGAGGTTTTTTTTTTGTGTCCTCGATTTCACTTTTTGCCAGGAATTTCTGGAGGCCCAGTGATTTGTGCAGAAGTGGGACTGCAGTTCAATTTTTTCTTTTGTTTGTAGAATGACAAGTGAAGTATCATCTTATGGCATTGTTTTCAAAATTCATTGTAAATTTGGCATTGTGAGTATAACTCGTTTACAGTTTAACTGGGATTGCTTGGAATTTTCATTGAGGTGGTCTAGATTCCGTTTGTGTGGTCACGTATTGATACTCTCTCCCACGGTCAGATGCTCTAGTACCAACAGAATTTGTTATCGCTAACAGGTCTATGCAGGCTTAAGCATACGGAATTCAGCGCATTATCGTTTCTGAAGATGGTATAGTTGCTGGGGCTGCTTGTGCTGTTTCCAGAATCACTCGGAGTTGCGCAAGCGTTCTTTTAGAATTCCTTCTCGTGGAAAGTGTGTTTAAATTGGTGTAAGTTAGTATAACTTAAAGCAACGTGACCGACGAGTACCGCGAGCGCAGCTTTTGTCCTAAGTGACAGGGATGGCGATGCCACTAAAATTGTTTTCGGTATGGTTCGAGTAACGAGTGGCTGTGGTACGAAAGCAGAGTCCGAAAAACGAAAAAAGAGCGCGAAACTGGAAAACGATGGTTTAAGGGCTTCTTTCGGCACGAAGCCACGTTCGAAAGTTTCTGAATTCGACTACAGCGGCACCCCCATTCATACGCAGCAGCCGAGCACTGGACAAAGGTTTATTATACGTTTTTTGCATCTTTGCAATGCAGAAAAGGCATATTGACGAGGGATTATGTGTTTGTCTGTGTGTGCGTCCATACCGATTTTTCATCTCAAAACCTGTTAAAGCTACAGGGCTGAAACTTTGCGAACTTCGGGCCTCCTTTCGCAAAGTGGGCGTTCTTATCCGCGTAGTACCCACCTACGGACCTGCCAAAGTTTTTTACGGGGAAGCTGCTCACTCGAGAAGCTGAAAAGCTGAAATTTTAAGGGGACGTGTCCCGTTCTCGTAGGTCTTAATGAGTTCAAACCCAGCCTTGGGTATGCATGGTTCTTATGTACGGGCCCGTCTAAGTTGCTAGCTCGGGAACTAGGAAAGTTAAAAAGCTGAAATTTTTAAGGGATGTTTCTTGATAGTTCTGGAGGTCAGTTTCGATTCTTTTAGCCAGAAGCATCTGCCGGAAAAACCAGTGCTGTTAGCGACAAACATCTGTGGGGAACTATGCAAAAAACGCAGCTTCCCACGGGCAGTCAACGCGCCGGCCATTTATTTTTGTGCGTGCTTTTGTTTATAGAAGTACTTCTTTGGGGGTCGTCGACATATGGATAGTAAGAACAGTGTTGTCAGTGAATGCCAGTGGCTGTATCGATGTTGTTTTAGGACAGGGCGAGAGATGTATATTCGTATTAAAATCATTTTCAGGTCGTTGTCGAGTGGACAAAGCAGTGATGTGGCGAAGAAAAGCAGGAAACGAACAAAGAGCGCAGTGGAATCGGACAACGATAAACCAGTTGTTTTGTCTAAAAACCGTCCCACAGAGGTACTGATTAGCATTATTTTCTACTAGTACGTAAAGGATCTAGCACTGCATCAGTTGCCTTAGTCTTATTCTATAGTAGCTACGTTTGCCTGTCACTACTTTGGCCTGATCGACTTCCAGCAAAAACGATACTTCCCTGTTTTATCATACCTCGAAAAAATAAAGTTCGTTTTTTTCTGAAAATAGTGGATTTCGTTTTTCTTCTGTATCGAATAAATTCTGCTTTTTATGGGTCTAAAATATGTGTTGCTGAGCCTTTTTCAGTATGCTGAAACGTCCATAAATAAGTCGGCGGTGCGGCCGAAGAAGATTCGTTTTGATGAGAATGGTGATCCCATTCCAGTATTGTCTGACCAGGGAATAGGCAGCGAGTATGTTTTTGCATAAAATGTGC